CCCCCCCCCCCCCCCCCCCCGCCACCTGCAGTCTACAAAATGGCCAAACTGGCCCTCTCTCTGTTCCTCACACAGGAGACTCCATCTCTTGTCTCTTCTTTTGTACTGGTCTATGCCTGGAATGCACTTACTTTCATCTTATCTTTGCCCCATAGAGTCCTTCTCTTCCTTCTAAAATGCAGCTAAGGAATCATCTTTGCATGAAGCCTTTCCTGATCTTCCCAGGTGCTAGTGCAAACTACTTTGCATACATTTTATTTATTCACAATACAAAGATATCTACACGTCCTTGTTCTCTCCCCTATTAGAATATAAGCTCCCTGTAAGTAGGGTTTGTTTCATTCTTTGTATTTGTATCACCAAAGCATGACACAGTACTCAGCACACAACATTTGTTGATTCATTATTAATTGGTGAATTTAATTTTTAATTTAATTTTTCCATTCTTAATTATGAGGTTCAATGAGCTTGTTTTAATTATTGTCCATGCCCATACAATGTGCAGTAGCTAATGCAATCATTGTATTTGGATTTTACTGAAAGTTAAGTTTCTTTTGGCATTTTTTTTTTTTTACTGCATGCACTTGGAGATAGTGGGATCTCTGAAGCTATTTATGGTTGCCTCTTTACCTCCTGGGCTGCTTCATGTTTTTTGCCCCTAAAGCCACCTTCTTTTGGACTATCCCATGTGGGCTGGTCTGTTTTTTTCCTCCCCATCTGTCAACTACATTACATTACTTAAAGTTGGGCTTCAGTGTGTACCTACAGCATTTCTCCTATCCTCCAAATTTGTTGTGGCCATATTTTGGCTTAGTGCTCAGGAACTGCTTATATTTCCTGTTGACCAAAAGATGATTGGAGTTCTCCCTTCTAGGACACTGATTTTTGATCTGGTTTCAACCCTGGTATAGCATTTCTTGCTGCCCTTGTAAAGTCCATAATATGAGCAACAATTCATATACCTTCACCAGGTTCTAGATTAGACTGGGGCATTTTATCAGGGCTCTCAGGGTTTGCTTAGTCCTTCCCTAATCTTTACCTAAGTTCAGAATCAGAGGATGACAGTTTTATCACAATAAAAAGAAAAATGGCCCTGGGTTGGGGAGAGCAAAGTCCCCCGTTAAAATATGGATTTTTCTCCAACTTGAGAATCTAGGGAGTGTCATAGAGTTAGGTAACAGATAATAATCCTTATATCCTTTTTTCCAAGGCTTCCAGTTCTAAAGGTACAAAGGTCAATTAAAACTTTAGTGGGGGTGCTGGCTGGATAGCCACCTAGATTCAGGAAATGAGAGGGCTGGGAAGCAGAGAGGAGTCAAAGGTACTTTATTCTGTGGTGGCAGAAGAATTTGCTGTTTTATTTACTTACATTTAGTGGAATAAGGAAAGGGAGGACCTGAGTTCTGGTCCAATTGTGGGATGGTTCTTTCCTTCCTTCCTCCATCCCCTAGCCCCTGTGCTTCGGTTTCTCTTTTTATTAGCCCAAATATAATGCCATACATGCCAACCTCTTTTACGGTGGGAATGGCGGATGAGAAAGGCAGAGTGAGACAACTTCATTGTTGAATGCCTGCCTCCCTCCATCACTCCCCTCTCCTATTTATCCTCCAAACAGCTGCCTAATATTAGTAGAGTACAGGATCACATATCAGGACCCCACTGGACCTCCTTATTTAACTCAGATGACTGGGAAGACAATTAGCCTGAGCCTTAGTTCTCTGGACCAATTCCAGGTGACAAGGTGGATGTTGGTAGATGTCCCTTACAACACCAAGCATGGTGGAAAGGAATGGAGAAGGGAGAAAAAATCTTGTTCATATGGAGCAACAGCCAGGCCCCTTAGGCTGGAGTACACAAGAGGAAAGAAAATAAAGTACAATATGCCTAGAAAAGTAGGTTGGAGCCAGGTTGTAAAGGGGTTTGAATACCTTACAGGGGAGTTTTCTTTTGATCCTTCTGGCAATTAGAAGTCATGGAAACTGCTTTAGCTGGGATGCACCCTTGGGCAACTTAGTGGCAGGGGAGCTACACTCAGTTGAATCAAAGAGGATGACCTTTGAATATCATGTATCTCTTTTTCCTCCTGCGGCTAAGTAAGTCTCTTTTTAGTAAGTGCTGAATGTTCCATGACGTCTCATTTTATTACCTTATTGAATCTAAACTCCCAGGGAGCTGGTCTCAGTCAGGCTTTTCCATCACCTGGAATGCACTCATTCTTTCTTTCTGTCTCTTAGAATCCTTCGTTCCCTTCAAGGCTCAACTGAAGAGCCATCTCCTACAGAACTAGAATCCCTCATTTACTAGCGCCCTCTCTCCAGAAATTACTTTGTATATACTTTGTGTTTATTTATTTTTATGTTGTTTCTGTGCAATAGAAAGTAACATCCTTAAGGGCAGTGACTGGCTTTTTTTTTTTTTTGACCCTTTGCCTCCCAGGATTTAGCACAGTGCTTGACTACTAGTCAACAAGCATCTATGTGCTAGGCTGTGTGCTAAATTCTGGAGATACTAATGAAGGCAAAAACATGGTGACCACCCTCAAGGAGCTTCCATTCCGATGGTGGAGACAACTTGCAAACAATGTATTCATAAAACATATACAGTGTAAAATTGGAAGTAATCATATACAGGAGGCACGTAAAAGCTTGTCGAATGAATTAACTTCCACTCCAGTTCTCTCTGGAGAGTCTATCAATGTAACTGTAATTCCTGCATACCACAGAGCAGCCCCTTTCAAATAACTGCATACCACGATTATAATCCTGTCTTCCCCATCCCGCCCCCATCCATCCCATATGTAAATAACATTGGCAACAGGTCATGGCATCCAGGTGTGGATTCATCTTCCCGTGCATTTCTGAAGGGAGGGGTCCTTGGGGAAGCAAGGTGGGATTAATGCCAAAGGGACCCTGCTGGGTGGCTGGATGGGGAGGGGGCCTGGGGGGGCGAGCCGCGCACGTGGCGGGAGAACACCCGCATCCTAGCCCTCCCGGGCTCAGGAGTGAGATTTTCGCTGCGGACCCCCCTCCTCACCTTACTCCACGTCTGGGGCAAAGTACAGTGCGCCCCTTCGGGTGAAGAGTGGGCAGAGCCTAAGGCAGCCCTGGAGAAGGTGGGAGGCAAACCCCTTCCAGGCCAAGCAGGTAGGTGGCTCGGGTTTGTAGACACAAAGCGCGCGCGCTTCGTCCGCCGAGCCGAGAAGGGGCGGGGAGACGCCGGGATCCGCCCCCTGGGGGCGGGGCGCCCGGCTCCCTGGATCGGGTGCCTCGCGCTGCGCTGGCGCCGGAGGCCCCGCCCCCTCCGGGCCCCGCCCCGGGCCCCGCCCCGCGCCCCGCACGTCCGCGCCGCGGATGCCGGGAGCCGCGCACGCGATGGCGCCTCCCGCTTTCGGGTGTCCTGTTTCTTGACATCTTCTGGAACGCGTTTCACTATGAGGTTAATGAGGTACCTGCGACGGGCAGCTTCGGCCGGCCCGGGGCCGGGCCCGGGTCCTAGCCCAAACGGGGTTCCCGCTGCGGGCGGCGAGCGCAGCGTCCCGGGCCAGGTGGATTTCTACTCGCGCTTCTCGCCGTCCCCGCTCTCCATGAAGCAGTTTCTGGACTTCGGTGAGCGGGTTTGCGCCTCTGCAGGGGAGGCGGCGATCCCCCCCCTCCCCCGAGGGTCCCCTGATGGGCGGGGGGAGGAGGGGAGGGCGCTGCCCGCTCCAGCCCGGGGGTCCCTCTGTCCGTGTCTGTCCCCCTCCCCCCGCCCGTGTCACTTGTGTCTGTGTCTGTCCTTGGAGTCTGTGCCTCTCCCGCTCCGCACCCGGCTCTGTCCAGGTAGCTCTCCATCCACTAGTGTCTCCTTGCCTCTTTTTCTTATTTTACCTTTGCATCCTAATCTAGTGTTTCTTTCCATGCCTGTTGTCTAGTGCACTTCTCATTTTTAAATAAAAAAATAGGAGTTAGAAAAATCACCTAGTGCTGGAGGGAGGGGAAGACAGGGCCTCATTCCCTAGTTTGTTTGTTTGTTTGTTTTTCTTAATTTGTCTGTTTTTGACGTAACCAGAACTCACGGTTGTGGACAAAATCTCGGACACAAGCCACAGTTGTATAAGTAATATGTAACAAGAGGCAGGGATAATGATAAATTCTCATTTTGGCACAAAGCCCTTAATCTGTTAATTTATGATGGCTATGTTGCTGCTTTATGTTGGTGTAGAATTTTTCTTATTCCAAGATTACTGTTCACTTTTTTTTTTTTTTTAAGGAAGCAACTGGTACATATTTTGCTTCATTTCTTGAAAGAGAATCATATATTTCTAGGGATTGAGATTAATTAGACTGTGAGCTCCTGGAGGTCAGGGACCACCCCTTTCTGCTTTTCTTTGTCTTTCCAATGTTTAAATACCCCAGGATCAAATGAAGATTAATAATTGTAAAACTGCTTAGAACCGGGCCTGGCACATAATAAGTGCTTTGTAAATGCTTATGGACTGATAAAAGTTGATAACCCAGGGAAAGTGTTTTAGTTTTATACAGATATTGAGCATAGATAAACTGCATGAACACAAAATGCTATAGGACTCATAATTTTTTGGTTAACACAATCTGTAACTGCTTTTAAGTAATTTATAGTCTAGTTTTCTTCCCGTTCAAATTGATGGTTTTTTAAAGTTTTCCCCAAATAAAGGAAGATATTTAGCAGGTTATAGAAAAGGAAAGAGGTGGTTGCATTTAAAAAGCCTTTGGGATTTAGTTTATTTATTGCCTTCTTGCACAAAGTGAAACATACACTAATTAATATTAATAACAATAGTTAATGTTTATATAGTACTTACTATGTGCCAGGCACTGTGCTAAGCACTTTAAAATTATTATCTCATTTGATCTTCACGACAACTCTTCAGGTGGGTGCTATTATTATCTCCATTTTACAGATGGGGAAACAAGGGAAAACAGAGGTTAATTAACTTGCCCAGGTTGCTAGTAAGTTTCTGAAGTCCTGTTTGAACTCAGGATTTCCTGCAGGTGGTAGAAAAAGGGGAGAAGTAGAAAACTCCTAATCTTTGGAAAAAAACACTGTTCACTGTGGTGCTTGGGAACAACAATTTACTCCTTTTGCTATCAGGATTCATTGCAGTGTCTCAATAGAACACCTATAGCATAATATTGATGATTTCATTATTTTAAAAGAAAGACTCCTTCTAGTTTATGAGATCTACTTGTTTTGCCTAGAAAACCTCCCCATGTTTTTATTTTTATTTGTAATTTGAAACAATTGCTCTGATAGTTAAGACATGATCATTACTTTGGTATCCATCAAAGCTGACTTTTAGGAGAAAGTGTTTTTCTTTAAAGTTTTTGAGACAGTGTGGTATGAAGAAGCATTGCATTGTGGTGGGAAAAGTACTTTTCTTGGAGTAAGGAGAAACAGGTTCTGTCCTAGCTCTCCCACTAATTGCATGACCTCTAAGATAAGTCACTTAACTTTTTCAAAAATGGGTTTACTCTATCAAAAGAACGTGTAACTAAAAAAATGAGTTAAGATTAAGAAACATTAAAAAAACTTGCTTTTAAAATGGGTAGGGTAGTTATAATTATTAAAAAGTTGCCATATTTAATTTTAATCAAAATGGACTATTTTACATTATTTCCTATCTAGATATTAATATTGTAGAATAGAGAATAGGATAAAAGACAGTTTATCCTCTAGTAATCACAGGAATTTCAAAGCATCTATAGTAGCTTCAAGGGGGAGAGAAAAGAGTTTCATCACTAGTCTGAGAGTGACTACAAAGTGGGGTATGGTAATGAAGCATTCTTACTTAAAAAAGAAAAAACTCTTGTTTTTGGTATTTTAATTACAGTTATCAGTATGTGTAGGACATACTGATCCCATTATAGTGTGATATAAGTGAACACAAAAGCACAGTGATGGCTTCTATCAGAATACTTTGATCAGTATATTTAGTCTAATTCTTTTATACCAGAAGAATGCATATTTTACTCATCTTCTCCCTCAGATTACAGAATCCTATAATTCCTTCTGTAGGACTCCAAACTTTTTTACCTGAATAGTGAATCAAGAAACCATTCTTTTTTTTTAATTTTTTAATTTTTTAAAATAAATTTATTTATTTTTAGTTTTCAACATTTACTTCCACAAGATTTTGAGTTCTAAATTTTCACCCCATCTCGCCCCTTCCCCCACCCCAAGATGAAACCATTCTTTTGAATGGAATGTTTGCTAGACATTTAAGAGTATGTTGGTAGTTATTTATCTTATGTCATTATTGAGATTCCTTAAGTCAGTGAGCTGTCATGGTAAAATGGTAAAGGGCAAAGATCTAGTCATTGGGAACTTTGGTTTTTTTTCTTGGTAAAACTATGCTTCTTTCTAGGTAGACTTGCCTTGATCTTGAAGACTTATGATTTTTCTTTCTCTTACATATTTCCTTGTTTCCATTAAGGTTCAGTTTTCAAACAATATGGTAATTTTGTAAGCAGATATTTTCGGAATTTAACCAGTTAGAAACAAAGACAGAATATGAAAGCAACTTTTGGTGGAGGAATAGTTTTGTACTTCTGGAATCTCATTTCCTTCACACTTCCATTTTGATTTACAAATTCCTTTGGTTTCAGGATCTGTGAATGCATGTGAAAAGACCTCATTTATGTTTTTGCGGCAGGAGTTGCCAGTGAGATTGGCAAACATAATGAAAGAAATAAGTCTCCTTCCAGATAATCTTCTAAGAACACCTTCAGTTCAACTGGTACAGAGCTGGTAAGAATTCTGTCTTGTTTTTGGAATATCAGTGGAGAATATTTTACCTTACGTTAAACATGGTCTTTTTGTTGATCTTCATTGGACTACCAGAATTATAAGGAGTCCTTATTTGTGGTGTATATATTTGTTCCCTAAGTCCTAGACATTGCCATTCTTTGGTTTGAGAGAAGCAGTACTGCACAGAAAAGCAGGTGCCATAGTTAAGTATGGGTTGTGATTTATTTTTTGTTAAATTTCACAAGAATGATTTTTTTAACACTCTAAAATTCAAACAAATGCAATCAGTATGAGTAAATGTATTTTAAAAGCACACATTTTTAACAAATGTATTGATCCAATTGTGAAAACATCTTCAGTTTTATAAACCACATTTTAAAAAATTGGTTATAATCTTTTTATTAACTGCTGTGCTGTTTTCAAGTAATTGTCCTTGTCTGTCTTCACCGTTGCTATTTCTCAAGCATTGTAAACATTTAACGAAAGAGTTGGCCAAGATAAATTTTGAATGAAAAATAATTTAGTTACAAAAATTTTATTCCTTGATTATGGTTATTATTTTAAGAGATTCTAATTTTTTTTCTTTGTGAAAATTGTGCTTCTGTGAGAGAATCTGCTCTTGCATATCCATTTTTTAAGTTCACAAAAGAAACAAGTAGGTTGAAATTAGCATAATCATTAATTTTTTTAAATGGCAGTACAACTTTAAGCATTAAACTGTTACAGATTTGATTAAGCACAAAATGATTATGAATTAAAGTAGAGAAGGAAGGTGAAATGTTTCTGAGGAATTTCATGCCTGAAATATATGCTGCAGTCAAAATGGTACCTTTCGTGTTTAAAAAGTTATTCCGTGTTATGTGTCCTTTAGACAGAAAATATGGAATGATTAGTATAGAATAATAGAATATATATTTATATGCATACTGAATGTATGCATTTATAGGTATTGAACATATATTTCTATGTCTGAAAAATATGTATGTAATATACATTCACACACATACATACATGTACTGAAATGACTGAACCATGGGGTGGGGAAACCTGTGGTCTCAAGGCCACATAGGTCCTCAAGTGTGGTCCTTTGACTGAATCCAAACTTCACAGAACAAATTCCTAAGGATTTGTATAGTGCTGGCCCTAGAGTCAGGAGGAGTTGAGCTCAAATGCCATCTTGGACACTTAGTAGCTATGTGTCCCTAGGCAAGTCACTTAACCCTGTTTACCTCAGTCTTATTTGTAAAATGAGCTGGAGAAGGAAGTGGCAAACTACTCCAGTATCTTTGCCAGAAAACCCCAAATTGAGTCACAGAATCAGACATTACTAATTGACTAAACAACAAAATATGTGTCTTTGGAATTCAGTCAGACACGTGCATTTGGGAACACATTAAAAACACACAATTGTACAGTTATTACCTAAGACATCTTTGTTGCTTGATCTCTCATAATAACAGTTTGAGACCAGTGGGGATTGGGAGGAAGAAATTTTCATGGCACTGTATAACTGTTCTCTTTAATTAAGAATAGACTATGGTATAGTGGTTTGAATACTAATCTTATAACTTTTAGAAAAATTATAATTTTATGACAGAAAAAATTAAATAGCCTTCCTCTTTCTCATTTTCCTCATTTTTGAGTAATACCTTCCTGTCTTTTAGAAGTACAGTACTGATTATTTCAGGTATCAACAGCTTTCTTATAATGCTAAGCAAATAAAAAAACTTGGTTTTATTATTATTAATTCATGTTTATCTTCTGTTAGAGGATCATATATATTGCAAAATTGCAAGTTTTAGAGTTAAGACATATGAGTTAGATTTTTAGAATTTTCATTTTGGGACGGCTTTTAAGAGACTACTTAGTCCAACTACCTCAGTTTGCAGATTAGGAAACTAAGGCTGGTGGCAGAGCTAAGACCTAAGTCTCTTGACTCATCAGTCAAATGTACATTTGAATTTAACCACCATTTTTTTAATTAAGGACATGTCCGAGAGTTACTTAGAGTGGAGATATAGAATTTAAGGGAAAAAACATAGTAGGATGAGACCTTAAGATTCTTGAATAATATCATGTCAGGAAGAGGGAATATAGACCAACTTTTGAGGAAATATGAAAAGTATCTCTTCAACAATTGATGTACTGCTAATATGACACCGTAGTATCGTTCCTGATCAAAAAGTGATATTAAAAATACATTGAAATATTGTTTCCAAATTAAAGTCTTGGAAAATAATATGTTCAAATTTAACTTGGGGATTTACATTTTAGGTACATTCAGAGTCTACAGGAGCTCCTTGATTTTAAGCATAAAAGTGCTGAAGATGCTAAAGCTGTTTATGAGTAAGTGTATTCTTGATTCCATTCCTGTAATGCTCTTTACTGTTTCACCATTGACTAAGAACAAGGCCTTTGTCCGGTCATACTCCAGAAGCATCCCTGTAGTACCATGCTTATAGTGAGTGCTAGATAAAGACTTCAAAGCCAGCAAACATTTATCAATCCCCTACCATGTATAAATGCTGTGCTAGACCCTGAAGATTCAAAGACTGGATGAGGAAGTATTTCTTTCCTGAGGCAGCTTAGATGGTTCTTCTTGCAGTGGGATGCAAATACATGTAAACAAAGATCAGAATCTTCTTGATAATTTGAAGGTGCAAGAGAGAGCATTAATCCCTAAGAAGATCAGGGAAGGATCCTTTTAGGATACGGTACTTGAATAGACAGTATTATTTCATTCATTCTACCACTTTAACACCATGAGGATGAAGGCAGGAAAGGAGGAGAGGGAGGAAAGGATTGGGGAATGGCCAAAACTTAGCCTGGACGACTATGTCTTTGTACCAAGAGTCTAAATATTGACGTAGACATAGAGTCGTTCATTAAGATCAAATTTGTGCTGGGCACAGTAGTCATGTTTAACATCATCTTTAAGACAATGGTGCTCAGTCTCTTGAAGGGATTCTAAAAACAGATGTGGAGGTACATTACATGAGATACTTTGTGCAATGACATTTACGTGAGTGATATAATGCCATGTTTGGGAAACAGTAAATAGACTAGTTTGCCTGAAACATAGAGCGTGTGAAAAGGAGTAATAAAATAGGCCCCTAAAGGTAAATGAAAGCCAAATTATGAAGGGCTTTAAATTTCTGGCCTATGACAGACTTATATTTTATCCTGGGAGGGATGGGGGGGGAGGTGATAGGGAGCCAGTGAAAGGTTTTGGTTTGGTGAGGCAGTCGGGGTTAAGTGACTTGCCCAGGGTCACACAGCTGGTAAGTGTCAAGTGTCTGAGTCCAGATTTGAACTCAGGTCCTCCTGACTCCAGGGCCGATGCTGTATCCACTGTGCCACCTAGCTGCCCCCCCAATGAAGATTTTTAAGCCAATGGAATGACATGGTTAGACTTGGGCTTTAAGGAAGTTATTTTGGCAGCTGTATGGTTTTGATAATTGTGGATCAGAATGTGAAATTTGAACTCATTGAAAAGTTGCTACTCTTTTATGGCTTCTGCACTTTGTGCTAAGATATATTGGTAAACTACCACCCAAAAAAATGCACTGGTGCTGTTTTTATTACATCTATTCTATGTGGAAATTGAGGATTTCTCTTTCCCTTTCCTGTTAGTTCAGCTTATTTTGTTACTCTAAATAGAAGTTATAAAATATAGGACCAGTCTAACAGGTGTGTTTTGTTTAGTTTTACAGACACTGTGATAAGAATCCGGAATCGTCATAATGATGTCATTCCTACCATGGCTCAGGGTGTGATTGAATACAAGGAAAGCTTTGGTGTAGATCCAGTGACCAGTCAGAATGTACAGTATTTTTTGGATCGTTTTTACATGAGTCGTATTTCTATCAGAATGCTGCTTAATCAGCACTGTAAGTATCTAGGAGCAAAGAGAGGAGAAAAACTAAAATGAAATATGTTGACACAGTAGCAAATGATTTATTTTCTTCCGTGCCCATCAGCAACATCAGCTAAATACATATAGCAATTCAGTTTTTAGTGAGTATCAATGGTTATGCTAATACTTATAGAAAATACTTATATCTTCCTGTTTAAGATCTATTGAGAGAAGAAAACCATAAAATTGAAATGTAGTATTTAACTATTTTAACTTTCAAATTTTTTTGTTTTGGGTAGCCTTATTGTTTGGTGGAAAAGGAAAAGGAAGTTCAACTCACCGAAAACACATTGGAAGCATTAATCCAAATTGTAATGTTGTTGAAGTTATTAAAGGTAATTTCCTCTGAACTTACGTTTTAAAAAATATGCAGAAATCAAAGGTGTTACTTCCTAGCTACATAAGATGTTAGCTGTTTGTAATATATGGAAAAATTTAGCAAGTAGCTAATATTAGGATTGCAAAGTAAGTTTACCTTGTTAAAGACTGATGTATTGTATAATCATTCAGCAGACATTTATAATGCATATCCTGTACAAGCTAATGTACTAGGCACTGGGAGAAATAAGATAAATAAGACACAACCCCTACTCTCAAACAGTTTGTAATCTACTAGTGACGATAATAACTATAATACAAATAGACTGTGGTAAATGTATAAGTGAGGTGTGAACAAGATGCTGTAAGAGTTCATGGAAGAGAACACTTCTGGCAGGGGTGGAAGAATTAGTAGACTTCATGAAGGAGGTAGTATTTGAGCTGGAACTTAAAGGATGATTAGGATTTGAGACATAACAAGCAAGCAGTAAAGCATCAGATTTGTTCAGAAAATAGCAAATAATCTGGTTTGGAAAGAGTGTAGAATGCATGAAGGGTAGTAGTTTGTATTCCCTACACTATTTTGTCAGTATGTGTGGCATCACAGTCAAGTATATAGATTGTAACTTTTTATAACTTAATTCTGCCCTTACAAAATAAGCATTTCTCTTTGACATGTAGTCCTCAGGTGAAATTTTATCATTAGTGTCTTCCTTCTAGAAATTATCAGCTGACCATATTATCAGCTGAAAAAATAATCTTCATAACTTAAGCGATCTGATAATGAATTCCTGTAGCAAAAACTTTTTGAAATGGATTCACAACAGATTCACAACATATACTTCTTCTGTGTATCTTTCGTCTAGAAGAGAAACTTTTTAAGGATGGGTTAAAAATGACTAAAACTTTTATACTTTTTAGTTTTTTCATACATGTTTAATAAACATACTGTTAACAAAATGATTGTGTTTTGTAGAATGTACCAGTAATTAATTTTGTAAGAATATGTTCCCCGTACTTCTCACATATGGGGTAGGACCCTTTCAGTAAAAGCATTCTTCTCATTGTGATTTTCAGCCCATCAAAATAGAGCTGAAATAGTTGATTATAACAATTTAAAAACTTTATTCATCAATTTGGCCTGTTTAGTGCAGCAGTTCTGCTGTTTCAGTGTATGAAAATGAATTTTAAATGTATTTAATTATTTTCCTTTTTAATTTACTCTAGATGGCTATGAAAATGCAAAGCGTCTTTGTGATTTGTATTACATTAATTCTCCAGAACTAGAACTTGAAGAATTAAATGGTAAGACTGTATATCACCTTTCTTTCACTAATGGTTAGTGTTAGAGATGATAAGGAGAGTTTTATTGATTTTTTTTAAGAATATATAAAATAAAAATTATCACTCTTAATTGAACCATAGATTTTTTGATTATGTAAAACAAATACCTAACAGCTTACATTTAAAAACAATTTACATCTTGCAGAATATTTCCTTTGCAACAATTCTTTTAAGTTAACTAGTGTTAATATCATTTGATAGCTTCATAGAACTTAGAGCTAGAAGGGACAGATGATGATACTGAGACTCAGAGAGGATAAATAGGATCATTGGATCATTTATTTAGAACTGGAAGGGACCTTAGAGATAATGGAGTTCCTTTTAAGTCTGATTTTGTGACATGTGCGTGGGAAACTCTCTGTGTTCATGGAAGTGTAGGAGGAAAAGTTATGGAACTGATAATAGAGAAGTGACTTAGGGATTTTTGCAAGTGATATTAACTTCTTGAGCCATTTAAGTAAATAGATATTTTAGTGCATTAAATATAATCTTCGTGACATGAAGAAATCTAGGTAGGCACAAAAAATACTGACCTTACTCATTAGAAAATAGAATCATAGATGCAAAACTGGAGGAAACCTTGTAAACTATCTAGTTCAACCTCCTCATTTTATAGATGAAGATAAGTGACTTTTGAATGAATCACTTTGGCTTATCTTTCCATTTCTGTCAATGAGATTCTCAAAAGATGTAGCAGAAAAAGCACTGGCTGTGGAGTCAATGAATCCGGGTTAGTATCCTACTTCTGATACAAGATGTGTGACCTGGAAAAGTCAAATATGGATGAGGTTAAGTGACTTTTCCAGGTCACACAGCTCCTGTCAGAAGTAGGATTTGAACCCATAATCCAGAGCCTTTTTCTACTATGTCTTTTGAGAATATCACTCATTGATTGAAAGAACTGGAATAGTAAACCACAGTGATTCATTTTTTGTTTTCTTTTGTTTTCTCCCCAACCCTATTGTTAATTTTCAGACTAATTATTGTCATCATGATCCTAGTGAACACTTGAATGTTGAAATTATATTCCATAGTACACTAAAGGTAATACAACATTTTTGACTAAGATACTTGTAAATACCTGAAAAAGAACAGAAAAATTCTGCCTTAGTGACAGCTGTTTTCAATATGTCCTGTTTTTTTACTTTCTGAATTTATGTGAACTGGCCATAAAAAAAAACCAACCCTCAGAAACAAAGCAAAACAAAAAAACTGTAAGCTGGAAGTTTGTGTTTTCTTGAGCTCTTTAAAATTTTCTTTGGGAAATCAAAATGCTATAATTTTGAAGATTTGGTGCCTTTTAAAGAAATTTATTAGAGTCAGAAAAATCAAAAAAGAGTAGGGAACAGCCGCTTTGTTAGGTTATTTTAGAGTGTTCCTTGACATTACTACAGTATCAGTGTTGTTATTGTCAGTGGTGAGTTCCATGAGCAAGGAGATTCAAACGTTATTGCCTTCAAGAGTGAGCTATGTAACAACTCTTCAGAAACAATATTGCCTTTCATAATAAATGTTTCTTCCTTGGTTACACTGTCTTTTTAAGATGTGTGGGTAGATCCAATTCCATAGTTACATTTTTCTTTTTCCACTCTGCAGCAAAATCATCAGGACAGCCCATGCAAGTGGTTTATGTACCATCACATCTCTATCACATGGTGTTTGAACTTTTCAAGGTTTGTAAAGTAGGACTACGTAAGCTTTGTATGCTTAGATTTTTCCTTAGTTTTGGGAATCTTGCTCAATTTCTAAAGCCACTTTAAAAGTAAAATATAATTTCATTAAAAATATATAATAATACCCCACTTTATCTGAAAGTCAGTGTTCTGACTGGTGGCCTTAGACTTCTAGAAGTGGACAGCATGAGAAAACTGTAACCTTTCACTCAGTTGTTTTTTACTCTTACTTAAAACTTAATTCTTAGTAAGCCTAATTGTCTGGTTTCTAACCCATAGCAAATTAAAAGCAGAAAATTAACAGCTTATACATGGGGAGGGAAGATCAGGTGTTTGGGAGAAAGGAATGATTCTTAACAACAGATAAAACATATGGTCGTTAGAAGTGACTGGTGCCAGCCTAACAGTAAAGGAGACAAGAAAACTAAACAAGGTATGCTATTGTAATAGATAATGCTGATTGTCAGCTGACATTTACCTAGAGCTACTAGGTATACAGAGTGCTTTCTTTGTGACTTCTCTTTGAAGTAAACAGTGTATTATTATCTTTATCTTATAGGTGAGGAAACTGAGGTATAGAAAAGTTAAATGATTAATTCAGGGTTGTGCAACTGGCAGGTGTGCAAGCCAGGGTTCAAAGTCAGATCATCCATTAGTTTTCCCATTGCATGAACAGATTCATAGGATTTAGAGCTGGAAAGGCCCATTGAAATCATTTAGTCTAGCCTTCTCATTTTATAGATGATAATATCAAGGTCCAGAGAGACTGTGTTAAGTGAGAGGTGACCTGGGATATAAACCTCTTATTCCAAACTCTTAAGTTCTTTCTATTAAATCATGCTGCCAGGATGACCCTAATCATCAAGAAAGACTTATTTTTTTCAATGTCCTCTGTTTAACCAACTAGGGACACATATTTTACCAAGATTTCTGTCAACACATTTAAATAAAGTTTTGGTGTTTTGTTTAGAACATATCACTTGACAATGATGGTAGATAAGTGAGACATTCATGTATTTAAATTTTTTCTGCTATACCATTTTAATGTCAAGGACTCATCTTTTGCATATGTTGTATGTGTTCTAAGAACACTTGAAACTAAAAGTCTATTTTAAAAATTTACTGTTATAGTTTAGTCTCCATAGGATAAAAGGAATAGACATGTTTTAAATTATTCATTAACATTTATTTCCATGTTATGTGAAATAAAGAACTAGACAGTGTTCCTAACCACATGATAAGAACTGACTAATACAAGATGAAAATAGAGGAAACTTGGAAATATGGGTGTATTGCCATGTTCTAGGTATTGATTAGAAATGTGGATTATTGTTGAATTGTTTATCCCTATCTTTAATCGAGATAGTTTAGGATTAGGATTATTCTGAAAGTCATCATTTATGAAAAAAAAATTGTTCTTTCTTTTGTTCATTTTAAGACATTCTAAATCTTACTTAAAAGATAGGAACTGTGTTTATAAAAATACAGTGTAGGGTCAGCTGGGTGGTGCAGTGGATAGAGCACTGGCCCAGGAGTCAGGAGGACCTGATTCAGATTCGGCCTCAGACACTTGACACTTACTAGCAGTGTGACCTTGGGCAAGTTGCTTAACCCCATTGCCTAACTGCCCCCACCCCTTCCCCTGGCCAAAAAAAAAAAAAAACCCAACCAAAAACCAATACAGTGTATTGACACATCTGATGTAGGAGAGAAAAGCTCTTTTACCTAGTTATCTAGTATGATTACACAATAGTTCTTTGGCAGAATTTTCTGCTTCAGCATAACTTTACGAGTTTTAGAAGTTTATTGTTTATAGAGAGCAATCTAAGACTGTCCTTCCCTGTCAAAATTCTTATGAATTAAAAAAAAAATGATCCTTTAAAAATACTTAGAAGAATTCTCTGGGTCATTTGAAGCCATTTATTATTTTCCTTCCCTGGAATTAGAAACTTCAGAGAAGTTTACAAGTTTTGGAAAATTGTAGCTTTTAACATAACTAATATTTTTCAGAATGCAATGAGAGCAACTATGGAACACCATGCCGACAAAGGTGTTTACCCTCCTATTCAGGTTCACGTAACACTGGGTAATGAGGACTTGACTGTGAAGGTAATTGCTGTTTAAAAATTTGGTGCTTAGATATACCAAAATGAAAAAGGGTTTGGTAATTTTAAGATGTGAAATTTAAAATAAATGATTAAATCAGAAAGAGAATCTTTTCACTTGTGGCCAGTAGTCATATACCAATATTATCAAACTGTGGAATTACCTACTAGTTCAGGCAAAAGTATATAGAATATAGGCACATCACTTCAACAATAATCTGGGATATTCATGACAAATCAGTTTCAAAATGTGTAAGTATGTAGATTGTATATAATCTATAGGCTGATTAATTCAGTTGCTCTGAGCCTTATAAATCTTAAGACCCCTTACATAAATGTGAATTGTTACTGTTATTGCTAATGGTTGAATTCCAATACAGATGAATTAGCTTTGTGTAAAGAAACTTTCCCCATATACCTTTCCCTGTAAACCTGACTAGTCACCTCAAAAGAGAAATGTGGATGGCTCATCACAGCTTGCTACCATTATTGGAAGAAACTTCAAAATGTTTGGTGAGTTTGTAGTCATTTGTGTGTTTTGCAGTTTATAGTCTGTGCTGTGCTCCTTTGTATTAGATGATGTCCTTGAGAGTATTCTCATCTGTGGGATTTAGACACCTATGGATTACTTAGTTCTTTCCATATAGATATAGTTGATGTTTATCTGGTTTACTACTCTAGCAATTGTTTTTGTGGTTCTGCCTTTATAATTCATGGGGTACAGGATGCTTCTATTCCAAATAAAAAATTGCAGCCAAAGTTAGTCAGCACTGGTTTAAATTGTGTTCTGGCAGGTCATGATAGCACCTTTTCTTACTCATTTTGCTTGCGTCTGACAAAATTTAACTTGCCGTTTATTAGTTTCTTTTGATGTTTTGCTGTTATTTGTAGATCTCCAGATAGAACTATGATGCATTTAACATAGTTTTAAGGCTGGCTCTGCTTTAAGACTTCATTCTTGGCAATTTTGTTTTCCAGTTGGATACAAAGAATTATTTTATGGGATAGTAACAAAAGAAATCCTTTTTTTTAGAAGTCTGAGGAGATGTTCTAGGAAAAAAAAAAGCTAAACTAGATACAACCTTTCATCTGCTTTTTACCTTGCCTCTAGTATTCCTTTTCATATCCAATTTTTTTTTAAGTTGGATATGAAAAGGAATACTAGAGGCAAGGTAAAAACCTACACCAAATTTCCATATATTAAATCATTGCCTTAATTTGTGTTAGAAGAGCTACTTCACCAAGGTTCCAGGGACCAGATTTTGTTAAGGTGGGAACTCTGTCTACTCTTTCAGAGTCTAGCCTCTCTCTTACTTACAGTTTCAGATAATAGAACTGTGGCTCAAAAAGGTTAACTGCCTTACCCATAGTGGCATAGCCGTTTCTCAGTATGTAAAGTCTGGCAAATGACTTGCCTGGGGTCACTTAACTGGTTCTTAGTCCATAGAGGTTAAATGACTTACCTGTAGTCACACAGCGAATTTTCAGTCCACAGGGTACTGAAATTCTTCATATTTGTCAGTACTTTTTCCACTCTTCTAAAAAATCTTTGCAGTTCAAAATTATGTAGTAGTTTGCTCCTCTGGTTCCAACTCAAACTATTAATACTCACTGTAAATAATCCAAAGTGGAATTTAATTTAAACTTCATTAACTTATTACCACCATAAAGTTCTATTTCTGTGCCTTATGACTGGGAGTTGACTTTGGAGTCTTTAAGGCTGTGCCTTTGGGATGTAAGTGCCCTTCTGCCAAGGGTGTCTGTTTTCTGAGAATCAGTCTAGCTAATTACAGAAAATTCCATTACCAGTCAGTAAGCATTTCTTTAGTGCCTACTATGTGCCATGGACTGTGCTAAGCTCTGGGGAATACAAAGAAAAATAAAAAACAATCCATTGGGCTCTCTCTTGATGATGACTTCTTGGGTAATGGCAATTCACTAAAGCACAACAACAAAATACAAAATGGTCCTCAGTTCTGTGCATCCCTCTTCTACTTACCTGAAGATAGTTTTTCTTTTTATTGTGCACTTAACAGCCATGAAATATTTTCATACACAAAAAGAACAAGCTTGTCCAAAAATTGGAACCTCTCGTACTTAGTTTATGAAATGAATCTACATTAAATTTAATAAGGTAGTAACAAAACTGCTTTGCATCCCCTTTTGTACTTTTTAAAATCTCCTTTTCATTAAAAAAAAATTCTTGATTTTTTTTTTTTTTTTTTGCTTATCTAAATCCACAACCCCTAAGTAGAAATCCTTCCTTGTAACAAATGGCAGTTTGGTAGAAAAGGAGACAGTGCTAAGATTTCACGGTTTTTAAAATGTCTAAAACTTTAACTTAGCTCTTAATTACTCTAAATGTGAGATCCTTGTCTAACAACAGGTGATTAGACATAGTCCTGGTAGAACTTATCAGCCTTGGTACTCACCCTTCATCTGTACCTTTTCCCTGGGATCTCTCTGATGAGGTGACTGAGAGATTTCTTCTTAAAACCTACATTTAAGGAGGGTGCTCAGGACAGCCATCTCCTACCCAGCTACATTCCTTTGGACCTCTCCTTCCCCCGCCCTCCAACTTTTTTAGCATCCTTTTGTGTGATGTCTTCCCCATTAGATTGTAAGCTCCTTGAAGGAAGGGATTGTCTTTCATATTTGTATCGCCAGCGCTTAGCACTGTTCCTGGCATTTAGTAGGCACTTAATAAATATTTATTAACTGATTGATCACAGTCTCAAGGCACTTGAGAAAAAGAGTGGCAAAATAAGCAGGACCAGACCAATTGTAAACAGAGGATATCTGTGTTAGAGGTGACACAATTTTGAGGGTATCCAGTGATTGATTATCAAGGTATTTGAAGGAGGAGAAGGTTCCAAAGGCATGGAAATAAATTTAAACTTTATTACTACCCAAAAAAGAACAAAAAATCCCTAATTTCCCATTCATATGAAATGTTTATTTTTTTTAAAAAAATCTACATATTTATCAAAGGCATCCTTGGTGAAAATATTAGAGAGTAATACTACAGAAGGCTTTCCCACACAATATTCCACAGTAGATCACTCATTTACTTGAATGTCTCTAATGTTGTTGGCCTCCTCTACTGCTAAAATAATTTTTGTAGTAAGCACTTAAATTATGTCATTAATGACACATTTTATAGGTGATTTCATATAAGTTTTCATTTACATACAATGTTTGGGTTTCAAAGGGTAAATAAGCTCATTAGCTTTTACTTGCAGTTCTACTGCCTAGTTTTCTCCCTTTATCTTAGATTTCTTTTGTTGCTTCTCAGCTTTCTGGCTTTTCTCTCATGCTTTCCTGACTAATTTTCTAAAACAACCTCTCGCCAGGTTGCTTTTTTATTTAGAGCTAAACTAAATCCTTTCAGCAGCATTTGAGTTATAATAACTATAGAATGAGTAGATAAAACCAAACAGTGGGACCTGTGTATCATTATCTGACTTATTTCGGTTGCCATTCCTAAAAGATGCAAGGTATTTCTGAGTGCTTGTTTATTGAAGCTTAATACCTTACTCACTTAGGGAGTTGTAAAGACAGCTTTTATGTATATTTTTTTTAGTACCAAGCTAACATGTTGATTACTCATGTAACCAGTTGCAAATGAGTTAGATATACTCAGTGTTTACATTAAAAATTGATTACTCTAGATTAAGGAATAATATGAAAAATCCTTCATATAGTTAAGTTCCTAGCACCCACTTCATTAATTTTTAAGACAAATTTCTACTTTATCCCCTATAGGTATTTGAATCTGAATGTCATTTCAAACTTGCTTTTAACTCTCCTACACCAGTTTTTCATATATTGGATCTTCATAGGTCTTACATTCCCTAAAAATTAAGTAACAGGTTAGGTATGGTATGGTATTTAAAACAAATTTGCTAAGGCTCAGGCAACTATGCTGTGCGATCCTATACAATGCCTTCTTATTTCAAATCTTGTGAAAAGTGATAAACTCTGACAGAATTGAAGCTCATATGAGTTGTGAGGAAAAAAAAATTAGTTTGACTTTTAATCCTATTTATGTGCCCACGATTTATTAAAATTTAAAAACTATACAAAGACTTAAGGGTTTTATATATTCTTCTCTCACAGTAAAATTGTTCATGTTGTTTTGCTGTAGGCAGAATAGTGTTATAGTTTTTCTTCCAAAAATTTTTTAAGTAACATTTAAATAAGGACCCAAATTCAGCACTTTATCAGGTCGCGTTGTGTAAAATCATTGCCTTTTACTCTTCATGGGGATAGGTTTTATTGAATAGGTATTAACCAATTACAGCAGGCACATAAGGGATTTTCTTTGCCTCAGGTCTTAGAACTGCCAATAAAGACAATGTCCATATGTTCTCATATCTTGGATCTGACTTATCAGATGCCTGATTTAAAAAGTCTTTGTTTCAAAAACTATATGAATCTTCATAGATGTACATTATGTGCTAGGTTAATACTGTTTTTCTTTTGTAAGATGTTAGAAAATATATTTTCTTCTCTTAGATGAGTGATCGTGGAGGTGGTGTTCCTCTAAGAAAAATCGATAGACTCTTCAACTACATGTATTCAACTGCACCCCGACCTCGTGTTGAGACATCTCGAGCTGTGCCCCTGGTGTGTAATCTTATAATAATGAAATGTGATCTAGTGATGTTCCTTTCTACCCAAGGTAAAAAGAGATAGGCTACCAAAGGCAGCATTTAAAAACTGCTCAGTATGGCCACAAGATGGGGTTCTACACAAGGAATAAGGGAAGATCATTCTGTAAAGAAAACAGAGCCCACTTTAAAAAAAAATCTTTTGGAGTAAGTTCATGTATTAAGATAGACAAAATTAATAGAAGTGAGTATTCATTAGATTTTCAAAGCCAAAAAGTAGTAAATTAATTCTGATATATTTTTACTAATATGGTATAAGAATAAATTAATAAATGCTTATTGAATTGAATTAAGTAAAGTTCTCCTCTGATGCCTCATCATAGCATTGAGGTGATTCTGGATACTTGAAGGCTATACCACCACAGTACAAACATTAGAAAGTCTGGAAAAATCTTCAACATGTTAGTCACAAATCACAGAATTTGAGAGTTGGAAGGGACCTTAATAGCCATCTAGTCCAACCTGTACCCTAAAGGAATGCATACTATAACATACCTGACAAGTGGTTATCCAGCCTGTGCTTGAAGATTGCTAATGAAGGGTAACCTGCCACTTCTGTAGACAACCCATTCCACTTTTGGACAGCTCTCATTGTTAGGCGATTTTTCTGACACGAAGTCAGTTTGTTTCTTTGCAAAATCTACCCATTCTTCCTAGTTTTGCACTTTCGGGCCAAACAAAATGAGTTTGCTCCTGCTCCACTTGACAGAACTTTAGGTATTTGAACATAGATATCCCGTCCCCCCTGAGTTTTTCTCCAAGCTAAATATCCTCAGTTGCTTCAACCCGTCATTTGACCTGAACTCAAAAGTCCTTTACCACTTTGGTTGCTCTTCTCTGGACATACCACCTTATCATTGTTTTTAAATTGTGGTGGCCAGAACATAGTACTTCAGATGAGATCTGAGGAGAGCTGATTAGGGAGGGACATACCTTTTTTCTGAAAGTTAGTCTTATTGTAATGCAGCTCAAGATCACATTAGCTTTCATGGCAGCCCCAAAAAGCTAAATGAAGGCCTGTGTGTCTCATATGAGAACTAGTTTAGCTAAATTCAGAGAGGTTCATCACCAGAAAATTGGCCACTGAGCTACAGATTTTTTAACCACAACAACTCATGAAGACAGTCTGCTAAGGCATAGAAGTTATCTGCATTGGTGGAAGGAATACTCACGGTAATGGTATCGCACAACCTTAAATTACTGAAGTATGTTTATGGCACTATGCTAAAACAGGCAAACTTGAAATAACAAAATCCTTGGGTTCAAAGACCCCTACTATAATAGGAGTAATCATTGGCAAATAATGAAAGAGTCATCTGTGTTACAAATTGCTAAAAAGTTTAAAATTTAGGAAAGGTAGGTTCTATTAAGTTTTATCGCTTATTTAATGATTTGAATCAAGTTCTCTAAATTTCCTTTTATTGAACTATGTCAGTGATATTTTTACATTTGCTAAAGTCTGGGTTAGATTCTCCTATGATAAGTTCTTTCTGAAATGAATGATTTGCAGTTTTGGAATAGCCTCATTTTTTTAAGTTATGGAGTACCAATAATGTTTTTCTGTAATGTGACCAGAACAAAATTCATTGTAAGATTTTGACTCCTCCCCAGGGATTTACCAGAAAGGCTTCATTACAAATTTACCTATAATGTGGTCCCATATTATATAACCTAGTTCTAGTGTATTACCTTTATTCACTTCCTTTATGCCAAAGTAATCCCTAAAATCCATTTAGGAGAAAATATTAACACTGAAAATATTGTTAATACTTGATTGAAGGCTAAATTGAATGTAACATAGTTAAGATTTTAGTTAAAATCAAACCTTTTTTGAGGTGGAGCCTAGATGGTGGAGTACAGGCAGTGACTCAGCTGAACTCTCCCAACATTCCCTTCCAAACAGCTTTAAAATAAATCCACAAATCAATTTTTGGAGTGGCAGAGCCAACAAAGGGTCAGTGAGACATTTTTCCCAGCCTAAGACAATTTAGGAGGTTGACAGGAAAGGTCTATGACACTAGGATAGGTGGCTGTGGCAGCAGTGGGCAGCTTCAGGAGCTTTCAGCTTGGAGATGGTAAGGAGGTCAAACAACTGGTCAGAAAGAGATTACAGGGGACCTTGTTCTGGCATGCAATTAGTGCTGATTGGAACTCTAGTGCCCTTAAGCAATTCTGGGTTGCAGTTCCACCATGGAGGGAAGCACTTGTGGTTGATTGCAAGGGAGCAGAGGCCCTGGTCAGGGTTCCAAAGTGGAGAGGAGCATCCGTACTTGTGACTGCAGGAGAGCAGAGGATCTGTCCACAGTTCCAGGGCCAAGAGCTTGTGATTGCAGGGGAACAGGGGCCCTAACTAGGTATCAAGGAAAACTGCCCTGTTATCCTAGAACCAGAGAGTAAAATAGAAATTAAAAGAATCTGTTAATCACCACACAAAAGAGATCCCAAAATAAAAATTCCCAGGAATATTATTGTCAAATCCCAGAGTTCCCAGGTAAAGGAGAAAATATTTCAGGTTAACCAGAAAGAAACCATATATTGTAGAATTACAGTCAGGATCACACATGACTTAGTGGCTGTCATGTTAAAGGAGTAGAAGGCTTGGAAAATGATATTCCAGGAGGCAAAAGAGATAGAATTACAATTAAGAAGAACCTACCCAGCAAAACTGAGTGGGGGGGTGGGGAGGGGCAATGGACATTTGATGAAATAGAGAATTTTCCAGCATTCCTGGTGAAAAGACCGGAGCTTTAATAGAAAAATTGACTTCCAAACACAAGAATCAGAGAAGCATAAAAAGTAAACTTGAAAGAGTAATCATGAGATTCAATATAATTAAACTGTTTACATCTCAGGCTGTGTGGGAAGATGATATATTAACTCCTAAGAACTTTATTATTATTAAGGCAGTTAGAAGGAGTCTACATAGACAGAGGGCATGTGTATGAGTCAGATATATTGGGATGATCTCCATGTCCCTGTCCCCTTCCCCCCCCAAAAAAAATGAAGGGATGAGATAGGGGTGCACTGGGAGAAGAGGGACGGGAGTGGTAGAATGGGGAAAATTTTCTCACATAAAAGAGGCTTGCAAGGAAGAGCTTTTATAGTGGAGGGAGGGTAGTGCTTGACTTTGTTCTCATCAGAATTGTTTCAAAGAGGGAAGAATATAGATATAGATAGAGATAGAGATATATAGAGAGATATATATCTCTCTCTATATATATACATATATATATATACACACTCTGTTGGGTATCGAAATCTATCTTGCCCAATAGGGAAGTAAGACGAAAAGGGGATAAGATACAGGGAAGGGAAGGATAATAAATGGGAAGGCAGATTAAGGGAGGGAGTGGTCAGAAGCAAAGCAGAGTTTTGAGGAGGGCAGGATGAAAAGAAGGATGAACAAAAAAAATAGGATGGAAGGAAATACACAGTAATCATAACTGAATGTAAATGGAATAAGTTCACCCATAAAATGGGAGCAGATAGCAGAATGGATTAGAAACTAGAATCCATCAATATGTTGTTTATAAGTCTCACTTGAAGCAGAAAGACACACACAGAGCTAAAATAAAAGACTGGAGGAGCAGAATGTAATATGCTTTAGCTGAAGTAAAAAAAGGTCAAGATAGTGATAATGGTCTCAGACAAAGCAAAAGAAAAAATATTTATAGCAACTCTTTTTGTAGTGGCAAAGAATAGGAAAATGAGGGGATGCTTGTCAGTTGGGGAATGACTGAACAAGTTGTGGTATGTGATTGTGATGGAATACTACTGTGCTATGAGAAATGGTGAGGGAGGTGGTTTCAGAAAAAACGTGGTAAGACTTGTAGAACTGATGAAAAGTGAAATGAGAAGAACTGGAGATCATTGTGTACAGCAACAGCAATGTTGTAATGATCAATTGTGGAAAAACTGGACTAATCTGATGAATATAATGATCTAAGACAATTCCAGGGGACTCATGATGAAAAAATGCTATCTACCTCCAGAGAGAAGTAATGAACTTTGAGTGCGAATAGAAGTATAATTTTTTTGCTTGCTTTATTCATTTTTTTTGTGATATGGCTAATATAGAAATATTTTTTATATGATTTCACATGTATAATTAATTTATCATTTTGCTTGTCTTACTGGGTGGAGGAAGGGTGAAGGAGGGAGAGAATTTGGTACTAAAAATTTAGAAAGGAAAAAAAAGCCAAAAATAAATAATAAATTTGAAAAGCATAAAATTTGCTATACAAATAGAAAAATAATATTTAAGATTCTGTTAATATAGTAGTTTACATTAGGCTTGAAGACCATGTATAGAAAATTAATTAACATACAGATTATTTAAAAAATACTTAAGTTAATTAAAAAAAATTTTGTTACTAGTGTGCTTTACTAAGAAAATCTAATGTTCAAATCTAGGACTTACAAAATGAGGTGATAATTCAGATGAAAAAAAGGTGCTTCAGTTAAAAAAAAAATCACAAGTTCTTTAAAATGATTATTAATTCTGGTGTGAAACTTTCATTAAGAAGCATCTGGGTTTCACAGTGGTTAGAGTACTGGTCCTGTAATCGTGAAGACCTGAGTTTAAATTCGATCTTGGATGCTTCCTAGCTGTGTGAACCTGGGCAAATCATTTAACCTCTCTGAGCCTCATGTTCCTTTTCTGTAAAATGGGGATAGTATTTCCTAGGTTGTTAAGAAGATCAGATGAAATAATATTTGTAAAGCATTTTACAAACCTTAAAATATTATATAAATGCTATAGTAACAGGATGTCATCATGAACATGAGAAAAATACATTTATTTGTACATATAAAGGCATTACCATGTAATTCTTGAAAAGATTTGCTTTGAATGGAAAAAGGTTGGATTATTATATTGAATATAGTTCAAATAGTTTTGAAATCAGCACAATATAATCTGCAGACAGGAGTATTTGTAGAATTTCTTAGTTTTTCTAATACATACTTTTATTCTTTTCCATTTTATAAGTAAGTTCACAAGCCCTGAAAGCAAGAAACATCCATCTCAGGATGACTTTTAGAGTCACAGGCACTATTATAGTGCTGGGTCACACCATAGTATACAGCATTCCTCAGATTACTCAAGAATTAATCATTTCACACAGCCAAGTAGTCATTGATTTGCTTGTATATAACATCTGGTATCTTAGCAGTCAGATGTCCCTGAAGGGAGGGCAGATTGCTCAAGTTGGTATCAAGATCTTCTGGGGGGTAGGGGATAGACAGTTGTCCATCAGGGAGAAGCAGTGTAAACCTAAGCCCAACAAATATCTTGGTCAGAATGAAAGGCTGCAGTTCTTCCTGGTTAAAAAGAAGGGAATAATTCATTTGGCTGCTCTTCCCCCCCCACCTCACCATGGGGGTGGCTATGTCCTGCCTTGATCCTTCTTACATTATCCCTCTTACTGTTACTGGGACTTGTATACTTTTGGTAATATTTTGCTTGACTTTAAAAATCAGTCTTTTCCTAGAGATAATTCTATGATGACAAATTAATAATAATGCCACCCTTTCAGATAATTACCTCAAAGGACCTGAAGACAGTGAAAAGATGCGTGCGTGGTGGGTGTGAATAGACTGCAACAAATTATCATTGCAAATTCGCTTGTGAGAAGTGGTGCAGCAGACATTCATGACTAGAAAAGAAGATGATTGATCATGTACTGTGAGGATAACAGATAAATAGTCCAAGTCCTATACTGGTTATACAGAAAATTTGCAGAGAACCAAGAGAAGGCCTTCAGTGTGTTAGGTAGATTCTTTGTGGAGAACTTATGGAATGATACTTTTTCATGGCTCCAGCAGTGAAGATACAGACAGACACATACACACACACATACCCCTGTACATAATGTATCTATATATTTCTATACATATATTTATTATTTTCACATATATATAGATGCATATATGTGTATATACATATCTTGTCATTATTTAATAACTCGGTTTAAGAAATCACTTTTTAAAAAAATCAACTCATAAGTTAGCTGGACAATTCAGAACAACCTTAATTTCTTCAATCAATAAGAAGTATTTTATTGAGTATCCATTTTGTGCTTAACACTATGTGACATATAAGACATGATCCTTCCCTTTAAGGAGCTTGGATTTGGGGATATGGCCTTAACATATATGGTAGAATTAGAGAACAAATGCTAAAGGGTGTATTATTCATGATGAGTGCAATAGGACTTCATATAGGGGTGACCAGGGGAGTAAAGAGGACATCTTGGGGAGGGGAACCAGCGTGGTCAAAGAGAGGCAGTAATGAGCATGGACTGTGTAGAGCTCTCAGAGGTGTCTCAAGCAAACGTGGCCCCCAACACTGCTGAGCGCAACCTGAATCAGATCAAGTGTAATTCCTGTCTGATGTTGATGTATTTATAAAAAGTACATACATATACACACACACATATACATATGCATGCACATATAAAAGTGTAGTTTTCTAAGTTAGTGTGTGGCTCATAAGATCCTTATGTACAGTTTAAGGGCCCCTGTTTCTCTTTGAGTTTGACTTCACAGTTGTAGAGGACAGTGGATAGACCTAGCTGGCTGAAACAGATTGAGAAATGAAATTTGCAGTGGAAACATCTTAAAAGTAAAGCACAAGATTTTGAACTTGATGTGGTTGATGGAGCAGCTAGGTGATGCAGTGCATAAAGCTCCAGTTTTGGAGTCAGGAGGACCTGAGTTCAAATCTGACCTCAGGCACTTGACACTTCTTAGCCGTGTGACCTTGGGCAAGTCACTTAACCCTGGTTGCCTCGAGAAAAAAAAAAAAGAATTTGATGTGGTTGGGAGTTGTGAGTTCTTTTAGATTTTCAGGTGGTGGTGGTGGTGGTGGTGGTGGTGGTGGTGGTGGTGGTGGTGGTGGTGGTGGTGGT